GTTTATTTCTAGTCAGTGCTATGAGGAAGAATCTGTTGCTTCCCTGAGTAAAGGTTCTGCAGCTGTGTATTTAGGTTGTCCAATTTCTAAGATGTGAGGATCCCCATGACTCAACTCCTTTTAGCAAGTCGTGTTAGCAAAGTTTGTCTGGCAGGAGCCAGCACTCTTCCTTGGGCCCTGAGATCTACACTAGTGATTGACTATTCTACTTGCATTAAGTCTGGAAAACCCAGACTGGCATTTAATGCTTGGCTATGGTAAGCCAGGAAACTGGCAAGAGGATCTCTTACACTTTCTGTTACTTCAAATAAGGCGGAAATCACCTGGGTCCATTTGGAAGCATGCAAATTGCATTCGATGATCTGTGATAATCGATATTTTTTAATAACAGAAACTGATCTATTATCTAGCTCTAGAACTAACTAAAATAAACTGTTTAACCCAGTAATTAATACAGATGTATCAGTCTGATTTTTGTTGCTGTAAATATCCAAGGCTGGATATCATATTTTACCATATTTAAAAGGTTTATTTAGCTCACAGGTATAGGAGTCCAAGAGTCTGATGTCACTGGGTCGTGGACACAGGTCTGAAATCCCTCTACTGTGGAGACTGAGGGCTCGAGTCACAAGGTTAAGGCCTGTCTGGCTACAGAATGAATTCAAGCCAGTCCTGGAAATGTCTCAGAATAAAAGGTAAAAAGAGCACTGGGGATATACGTTAGTGGTAGAGTTGCCTGGCATTCGTGTAAACGCTCATGAGAACACAGTAAACAGTACGTGACTTCTGCTCACCTCTGGGGAGAGGCCCCATGGCTGGGTCACGTGGCAGATGGCAACATATTGGAGTATTCAAGGACAGATAATGTGTTAAAGTAGGAAATCAGACAGCAGGGAGAAAGATGTTTGTGGCTTGCTCATTTGTAACACAGTAAAGACTGGGGCTGGATGATGAGTATGGTCACCAGCCTTCATTTCTTACAGGGAAGTGTGTGTGTGTGTGTGTGTGTGTGTGTGTGTGTGTGTGTGTGTGTGTGTGTGTGTGTTAATTCTGGATCAGATTAAGGACATATATCCTCTTCACATTGCAAAAGTAAATAACATAGCATTAGTTTCATGAATGTTTCATTTTTAGCCTTGCTAATGAATCATGATAAATATGCTTCCAAATTTCACTATAAGTACCAACCAGTAAGGGTAAGAGCAAAATCTTCCCTTGTGGAAGCTTTGAAAGCAGCAAATGATTAATAACAGCAGAGATAAAGCTCTGGAGAAAGACAGGTCACAGTCCAGACTTTCACAGTGTGGCCATAAGGGCTAGAACAGGCTTCCTCTGGGAAGGCAGTGAGCACTGTTAGACAGCTAAATCCTGCAGACTTCTTGTATTTTTGTACTCTTCTGAGAAAGGTTTGCAATCCAAGAACATGTCTGCAGGTGAAGATTAGGAGTGACTAAAGAGCTGGTTAATTGATCTTGCCAGTTATATGTTAACTGCTGTTAACTTTCCAGTTACATGTTACTGAGCAGGTAAGAAGTCACTTATAAGGCAATACTGAAGTTAAAAGAGAGAGAAGAGACTTCAGTCTCCATGGAGAATTTCTTTCTAAAGAGCCCATGGCCCTCCCTGTCCGACACTTTGGTTTAACTGACAGCTTCACACCTTGGTGATGGAATATCTAGAAAAATAGAAAAGTTCCTTTCGTATGTAGAGACTTAATTTCGACCATTGTCTTAAAACCTGCCACACCAGAGCGGAAGTCAGATGTGGTATTTTTAAGTCTCATGGTGACTTTGAATGGGCTGTTTCCCTGGTCACAAAGGTGGCCTCTGTCTCAGGGAGTGCTGATGTTGTACAAAGTAGAACCCATCAGATCTTGGTGTTCAAACTTGCCTTTTCTCAATGCTTATTTGTAGAAGAAAATGATAGATATGTAGAATTTTAGATAGCTTATTCATATAATTATATCTGTGAGATGAGAGAGCAGAATTATCAGTTTTCAGCCAGTGGCTTTTTGGAAAGCCCACAGCAGACCTGTAACTCTGCCTTATTTTTTGAAGAGAAATCCACTAAGTTTTCTCCACTCAAGATCTTCAAAAGGCATTGATTTCAAATGTGTGTCTTTACAATAATATAATTTCAGGAAACAGCAATCTTTCACAGTTGTGTGTTGGGGTTGATTTTTGCAGTGAGCAGGGAAACTAAAGTAAATCAATATTCAATATGCTGATGATCAGGAAAATAGATTGCCTTCCTGTGACAAATATGTGTTTTCTTTAACTACCACACCTATTCACACCCTGAAAGAATACGATGAAAGAGTTCACACATGAAAATCTCTCTAGCCTGGTTGAGGGGGTGCCGTGTCCAGATGTTCAGAGAGCAGAGACATCTGTGCAGGCAAGTCAGTTTGCAATCATGCTCTAGCCAGGCTCCACTGTAATTTTTACCTTATGACCTATCCAAGTGGCTCATCATCATTTTCTTCCAAGGCCTCCTTGTCATTTGACTAAACTTTGTAGATACTCTTTAATTTCCTCCTCACTCATGCCTTCCAGTGGTTTTTTTTTTTTTTTATAAATTTGACCCAAACACATGATAGGAGCAGCACTGACAATATCCCAGGGTTCCTCACTCAGGAGTCTTCTCCAGAGCATCCTTCCCATGGCTTTAACAGGTACTTTGTCTTACATTGTGTGGTCATTCCCTTAACTTCCCATTTAGTGTAATTTTATCTAAACGTCAGCACTTTGATGATAGCACAAGTAGCTGCACACAATTGTGTGTGTGGGGGGGAGTTAGTGTTTTATTTCCCATGTGGTTCTTCTATGAATTTGACACCCTAATTTATATGTCCCAGCAGGTATTTACTGTGCCAGCATTGTGGAAGATGCGAAAGTACCCAGTCTGTACGGCACCCAGTGTGCCCTTCAGAGACTGGAACATGGAGGCACCAATTCAAGCTAAATATGTATGAAACATATAATGCCACCAAATGCCTCAAAACAACTAGTGATGTGGCGTTCAAGTACCCACAATTCACGAGGGACGCCACTTTTACTTCTTGCTCACTGAGGCATCCCTGCGTGCTTTCAATAGTCTCTGAAGTAAGCTGTAGATAGCAGCTCAACAGATGTGTGGATCACAGTGTGGTTTACCATTGTCTCCTCTTACAAGGATGTCTCCGCAATGCATAGCAAATGACTTCACCCATGACAGCTTCTACGTAGGGAGGGCTACTAATAAAATGGTGGCTGCTATTTCATATTCAAATGTTCCTGGCACACTTGGTTCTACCAAAGAACAACGGCTGATAAAGTGGGGGCTGGGGGCTGGGGGTGGGGGACTGCTCATGGTTGTGAGTACACAGTGTTTGATGCCTATTTGTTCTATGCTCTCTTTGGAATTGATTTAGCCAGTATGATAACCTTAAAGGGTTTATAGGAAGAGGGTGAATGATGAAAATTTCTTTTTAAATTTTGTTTTTTGTGTTTTGTCTCAACTCGGTGACTCAAACAACTCTCCCACAATTACCTTCATTTTTTTTATATAGGTAAAGTCTTACATTTAGTGTAATATTTATTAGTAATTTAACAGTGTTCATAAACTGTTAGTATGTTCTTTTGAATGGTTCCTTTTTTGTTTTTGTTTTATTTTTTGCTTATTCTCAGAATAATTTATTTCCAACCTGTCAGCCCTCTTGTTATTTCTAGCATGTGATTTTGCAAAATAGAGAGAACACTTAGCACTCCTTTGTGGTAGAATGTCTCCCTGCAAGCCTCTTTTTCAGTGAAGTCAAGTGGGATTCATCTGTGGGAGATGCCATGAGAACAGCATCAGCAACTTCAGGCACAGGCTCTCCTAGGACCCCATCTGGACCGAGCAGTAACATCAAGATGCATTCCTGCTTGCAGCTGTTGTTAATCGGTGGCAATCTTTGCATGTGAAGCATCACAAACTGTCTCCATTTTATTTGTGTGCTTCCTCTACAATCAAGGGTCATGGATGACTTAACACACTATCCACAATACAGTGAGAGGGCCCACTGTGGGATATGGCTTCAGCAGTGGGGTCCTGGAAAAATGCCTTCCCACACAGGAAGTGACCTGCCGGGTGGTGTTCTAGAGCCACTAATCTGCAAGGTTGTGCAGACAGGTGCAAAGGCACACAGCGAGGGATGGAGAGCAGGAGGCGGGCACTGAAGCGGACAAACCCAGGTGGGTTTGGAAACAGCGGGTCAAGTGCAGAGACTTCAAGGGCAAATAGCCCATGCAAGCTGCCACTGACGGGAGGAGAGGAAACCCAAATGGACTGGGTCTGTACCTTGGTGGATAGAAGCATTCCAGACAACTGTCTGACAGAGGGAAATTTTGATGGGAAATGGGGGGTGGCAAAGGAAGATTTCTTGGCTGAGCTCTGTCCTTACACAATCCTTACACAATGAATGCAGACAATTCAGCCTTGGTTGTTTGACTCTGTCCTCTGCTCTCCTGAGGACGGTGGTGAGGAGTTGCTGAGTCTCTCTGGACAAGGATCCCTTTCAGATTGGCTAAAGCGCCGTCGATATCCATTGAAAACTATCGTGAGTGCAGAGGGGATGTGTCTGGACCCAAGCAGCTAAGCTGGGGATACTCTGTGACTATCAATACAGTTTCCCCAAGTAGACATCAGGACTTGGAAACCTGAGTCTCTAATGTTCACTGCAACCCCCTCTCCAGCTTGCGGTTCTTCAGGCCCGAGGACCGACGTTCTTCCCGCCAAGCCGGGTCCCGGTACGGGATCGATCAGGACCTCAGAGACCGCTCCTCCAAAGTGCGTGAGGAGGGGACCAGCAGGGCTCCGGGACCCTCTCGCGGGGATCCCGTGTCACCCACACCCTCCAGGTCCCTGCAGAACCCTCCCCCCGGAGGCCGGGCCTCGCCGACCCCTCCCCGCGGCGGCCGGAGGCGGGGATGCTGAGTGGCAGCGGCCGGCCTGGGCTGCGATCTTCGGCCGCCTCCTCCCGCTGCGCCCGCCCCTCGGCCTCCGCCCCGGCGCCGCCGACCCTCGTCTGCTCCCGCCCTCGCCTGTGCGCGTCCGCCGGGGCCAGATCCAGGCGGCAGCGAGGAAGCTGCACCGAGAGCCCGGCTGGGGAAGGCTGCATGCTCCCGGCTCAGAGCGTCCCGGGCCAGGTAAGCGAGGCGCCTCCGGGAGCCCTGGAGGGGGACGGTCCCCGACAGCGCACGGGGGCGCAGTGGGACGGACGGCGGGTGCCGGGGCGGGAAGGATTCGCTGCAGCGCCGGCCGCAGACGTGGAAGAAACTGAGTCTGGAACAGCTTCTTGGGGAGCTGCAGGGGTCCCCCCGCCAAGCCTGGTTCGTGCCGCGTGGGTCTCACCGGCCACAGACCCCAGCTGCATCTCAGACCTGGGCTGGATAGTGTGTGTGTGTGTGTGTGTGTGTGTGTGTGTGTGTGTGTGTGTGTGTGTGTGTGTGTGTGTGTGTGTGTGTGTGTGTGTGTGTGTGTGTGTGTGTGTGTGCAGCGCAGAGATCCCGGGTGAGGGCTGGAGAGGAGGTGGGCGGGGACACCACATCTGGGGTCGGTGAAGGACTCGGGGAGACGGGTTTTTGTGTAGTCCCTACCACCGCCCGGCTCCCTTCTCTCTCAGTCTATTCGCAGTCTCGGGCTCTCTGAACTAAGAAAAGTGAAAAGATTTTCTCCAAGCCGGCTCAACTTTTCTGTAATTACAGTAGGTTCAGAGGTTTCTATGGAAGTCCGTGGAGAGTGAGAGAAAGGCGAGGGCTCATCCCCACTCCCTATCCCGGGGAAGCTTCCTGTATTTTTGTGCCGTGATTGCGTTTGTGCCTGTAGATCGCAGCTGGTGACCCATTGGAAGAGTGTGTGGAACCAGAGGGCGGCAAGGTGTGGGGGAGCCATAGAGTAACCCAGACTTCCTTGGAAGGGACCCTCATTCTCTGAGCGCCCTCCCCGCCCAGGCTGAAGAGAGGACCGGAGAACTTATCTTGCTCTTTCTGATGCTCTCCTGATCATTTTTTAAAATGCCTTTTCAAATTAGGAGATAGAGAACACGTGCGCGACCATTAGGTCATTCAAAGATAGGGAAGACAAAAATCTCCCTACAGCCAGACTGATTAGCCTGTGTTGGAAATCTGATTCTGATGAAATAATAGTATTTGAAAGGTTTAAAGCAATACAAAACAACATCTTATTTTATAATGGTTACCTCCAAGTGGTCACACAGCGCAGACCGTGTGGCTTGTGGTCTGTGGCAGGGTAGTGTTTTATGGCAGGAGGTGGTGCCTTGTGAGTTTCGGGATAGGAGGATGGGGAGGGGGGCTGCTCATTTGTCTTGGAACCAGGCTAGTTAGGAAGAGTAATTACACTGCAAATGAACATTTGTGGATATAATTTGAGTCATGATACATGAACCAGTCATTTGTGGGGTAAAAAGGGGTCTTTGTAGATGAGAGCAAAGCAGTGCCTTCTGGGAAAATAATACGTACTGTTTATCCATGTGCATGTCCCAGAATTGATAGCACCTGCTAACAACAGAGATAAGGACTGAGAGATTTTGCCACATGTAGGGGTTGAGCAAGGCAGGCGGCAAAATCTACAGCAGAGATGATTACAAAATGATGAATTGAAAGCTTCAAGTGTGTGTGTGTGTGTGTGTGTGTGTGTGTATACAAAAGTTGTGTCCATCTTCTCTGTTATCTTTACTGCAAAGAATTGCCAAAGTGGGAGGATTAAAATTGAGGAGACTCTCAGGGCTGGAGAGATGGCTCAGTGATAAGCTCTTGCGCAGCTCTTCCACAAGTTCTGAGTTCAGTTCCCAGTACTCAAATCAAGTAACACAGAACTGTCCTTAACTCCAACTCCTGGGGATCCAAGGCCTCTGACTTCCACAGGCACTCAAACTCAAGTGCACATGCCCAAATGCAGACACATACCTAGACGTAGTTAAAAGTGAATCTTAGAAAAAGTGTTTAGAAGACTCAGATTAGGTCTGCTGAGTCCCCACTGGATACAACCCTGTGTGAACATTTGGCAGGCTATTTGCTTGTTCTCAGCCTTGGTCCTTGTGTCTGTGAAATGGTGGTGATAGAGCTGGAACAATGGCCCTGCTGTTGAGAGCTCTTGTTGCTCTGTCACGAGGACTGGGCTTTTTATCATAGCACCCACATCAGGTGGCTCACAAATGCCCGAAACTCCAGCTCCAATGGATTTGTGTGCACGCACTTAGACACACACACACACACACACACACACACACACACACACACACCAAAGAAAAATCTCAGAGATGGACCTGAAGTTAATAGTGCTTACTGCTTTTCTAAAGGACTGGCTTTTTGTTGCCACCACCGATGTCGGGTGGCTCATAATTGCCTGTAACTTCAGCTCCTAGGGATTGGATACCCTCTTCTGGCCTCTGCAGGTACTGCATTCATGTGCACAAACCCACACACTGATACACAAATATACACATAATAACATAGGTACATCATTCAAAAAATTAAATGGTGGTGACAAGAGTTCAAATCAAAGCCTCTGGAAGATTAACTGATGTCTTTGTATGGGGTTTGGGATGTTCCGCATGCACAGTAAATGCTCTGAAACTGTTAACAACGATTGACAGCTCTAAATACCTGATTTTTGAATGAATGACTAAGTTGAGCCATGTCTCTGACAGTCCACATCTAGAAATACTCACTCTTTCTAGAACTTTCAGGCTACATCCTTTGGCTTCTTCTGGTGAGCCTTTTCTCGGCCGTCTCTTCTAGGGAGTTTGTAGAGCAGTGTCTGTGTGTCTTTGAGAGCAGAGTGCAGAGGTGGCTCAGCTCATCATTCTGGGCTTGTGCTCCTTATAGTGGCAGATTCTCAGGTCCCATAGCCCATCAAAATAAATACAATAAAACAATTTCAAACTGCTATAGTGGTGGACATGATAAACATTGCCCAAGAATGCTAAAATCAATGCTATACTCAATGTTTACTAGTCTTAGAAAGATACAGTTGGTCTGTAAATTCCTAATTTTTAGAATTCACTCAAAAAGAAAAAAAAAAGACAGCCATAAAGTATGCCTTGAGGTTATAGAGAAAAATAACAAAGGCATCCTTAACAAAACAGTATTTCTTGAGCAGGAGAACTGTTCCCTGTGTTCCTCCTTCTACTGGAGGGGGTGGGGGAAGTAATGGCAGTTTGTTCATTTGTCCACTCAGTCAAATCCTGTCATTCCGCAGATGTCTCTGAAGCTTCTCCTGTAGGACAGGCTCTGAAGTCACATTGTACTTTCAAAGAGCTCCATGACCCTGGAATGGGCTGGGGACAAGGTAGCCAGTGCCATAGTGCAGGAAACCTGGCGTCTTGGGAGTGGGGCGAAGAGAACCTTGGAGACGTTGATCCCACGGCCACTTCATCTCCCGGGGTGGGGGATTGGGACCTTCTAGGAGGGAACACTTGTGAAGACCCCATTTGGAGACTGATGACAAAGAGTACTTGAGTTTGGTTGAAATGAAGACTGAACATGAGCCTTGCAGAGATATGGGACTTAGTGTTTGCTACAGGGACAGGAAGAGAAAGTGGATTTTCAGATAGATGATGAAAGAGGGCTCCCGACACAGGAGTGTCACGTGGCTACAGAGCTGCGACCTCTCTCCCTTGCCTGGTCTTTCGAGAGCAAAGTGAACAAAGACATTCTTAATGAAACAGTTATTTCTTGATCAGGTGATAGCCCTGTGTTGCTCCTTCTAATTTTGGGGGCGTGTCCATTTTTCCATTCATCCATTCATTTGTCCTGTCATTCAGGAAATGACTCTTCAGTGCTGCAGGTGAGAGTCATTTGTGTCTTTGTGGCTGAAGCTTTTGAAATTTTTGTCTCCTTTCAAGGGGCCCAAGTGGGAATAATTAAGCTCCTGACCTTTGGCCTCGGTGGCCAACCTCATACCGATGCTGTCCTGCAGACTTGATGGGGTCTGTTACTTTGAACTGGAAGCCCTGCGATCCACACAGAATGGTTCTGCGTGTGTTTAGTAGTGAGGATGTGTATCTAATGAAGTGGATTCCGTCCCTGTACACACATGTTGTGGCAGATGCTTGCCTGTTCCTATATTCAGATGTTGAAGCCAGATACCTCCAGGAGGGCCTCCAGGAGGGCTAGGTTTCAGTGAGGTGCTGAGAGTGGGCCCGTTTTCCTGAGGGTACAGTGAGGAAATGGTGGGTACTTTTTTAGACCACGGTCTATGGTATTTCTTAATAGCAGCCTGAACGGTCTAGCACTTGCAGGCATGCATGCATACACACACACACACACACACACACACACACACACACACACGATGACCTTCACTAGCTAAGAGTATGAGTTAGTTTTGCACACATTACACTACCCTGAATTTAATTTAAAAGGTATGTTACCCACATGTTTTCTCAGTTTAACCTTAAACCATCAGCTAGGTCAAGAGAAACATCCAGTTCTGACTTAAAGGCTTGGCTGGCCAGAAAGGAGAACCTTGGTGTATTATTACTATTCTTCATGTGGCTTTGCTCTGATTTTGATTCAATACCATAATCTTATTGATGAGGCAGCTTTTATGGACACTAATCAAATATTCTGTCAAAAGCAAAGAGGATTTCAGAGCTGTGTGCATAGGTGAAGTTGCTAGGTTTAACCAAACTTTAAAAACTTTATGTGGTTTATAAAGCAATAGCACTGAACATTGTACTTGGTTATAAGGAAGAGCATCGGGTATTTTATATCATTCCTAAGGAATAGCATTCAGCTTAGTGAGGAGATAGCAGCAGTACAAACAGTTTTTAAACTTTCTTCATAAGGAGAATTTCAGCTAGGCGTAACCAGGCCAAGGCTTTGGAACCCTGGTTGATACATGGAAGTGGCTTGTGACGTGCTTTTAGTCCTGGCAGTGGAAGACTAAGGGTTGCCAGCACTAGTTTCAGAAGTGTGTTTCCGTGTGGCAGCCCCACTCAGTCTCTCTCCTCCACACGGTATCTCTTATGGATAGTGCCGGGTTGTCCAAGTCTCATGTCCTGGAGGGGAGCAAGCTTATCAACTGCATTGCTGTTAACGTAAATGTCATTCACTTGTGGAATCACTGAAAGTGTGCCAAGCTGACCCGACAACTGTCTGTTGCGTCACACGCATGCTGTCTG